GGCCCAATTCCGCTTTAATGTTGTTGATTTATGTAGGTGGATACAAGATTGTTCAAAGAAAAGTACCTGAATTCATTGTTCCAGATCTAACAGGATTTGAGGTAGATATTAATTTATTAAATGATACTATTGCCTCCACACAATGCAACTTTTTATGGCCAGCAGCCAAGTATTAGGTAATAAGAAAAAAAATTTGAAACAATGTCCATTTAGAACTAAGTTATATGATATATCACTTATTCTTCTATAAAATGTCGAATAAATCAGCGCAGCTATTAAAATTTTTAAAAGCTTTTAGTTATTAATTATTTTGAAAGGTTATTTTGATTTTTCTTTGCTGTGAATTTAGCATAGAATTATTGTTAGTTAAGTAACTATACATGTTATGTAATGTTTACAACATGAGTGGGCGTGTGGTGTGGGATTTTACAATCTCGAGCTGAAGGCGAGAGATTGTAAAGTCCATATAACACGGACGTGAATGTTGTAAATTACTTGTGAAACATTTAGGTGTATACATTCATAATCTACTAAAAACATAAAGATAAAATTGAATTTGGCTGAGAAAATTAGATTTGAAGTTTATGCAAATCAAGACAGTTTTGTATCAAATATTACAACACTCTTCACAATTTTGATTTCTATTGTGTTGTCCTCATTAATTATTTGATGAGTTTTACAAATGAGGATATTGATGATAGTTCTTCTGTTTCTGTTTAGCTAAAGCCATATGTCTCCTATAAAGCACCAAAAGTAGACGAACCACCAATGACAGCAGAAAGACTTCTTCAGATGATCAAAAGCAACATCCACTTAATCAAGTTTCGTGAAGTTCCTTGACATTCTTATTGATTTTACTGCGATTTAAGTTGATATGAGCTGTACAGTAAAGTTAAATGGACATTTCTTAAAAAATTGCAGTAATCTAAAGCATGGTTACTATGAGTCATACCCAGTCTTTTCTTGTGCTGTTTTCAAGCAAACCCAAGAGAGAAATAATCTGACACTTTCTAGTACCTAAAAGTTACTGAACTCTAAATCCAGTTATGTTAAAATGTACGTATATATTGCTTATATAAAGTTCTCTATATAGCAAATATAATTTGTTTGGTATACTCATTTTTTTATATTTAAATCCACCTAGAAAGATGTATAGTATGATATAGTAACTGCTAAAAAAACAGCAGCTTCTAGATAGGTCCAGGTGGTGTCTTTAAGAATTGCCGTAGTTGTTAAAATTTTGCAACTTCGTAATGGAAATGGAAATAGGAGTAGCAGTGTGCCTAAGGTTTATCTTTTTAAATTCGTTTTTTGYTTMTTCCATCGTTTTGTCGGGCAAAACTCACATTTAGCCCCTTCCCAGGTCCCTGTCYGGGTTACCTGGACCCRCCCTTACATAATTTAACGATAAAAGCTTCATAAACCTCAGCTGTAATTTTGTGCAAGTGGGTCTTATCAAAATTTTCCCAACGTGTATCTGGAATATTAATAGGTTAGGGAAGGTAGCTTCTTGCCAGACTGAAATCAAGAGCTTCCTTTACTGGGCCGARAAAATCTGAAGTGTGGTCAAAACGACCGAAAGAAAACGTTTTAAGACAAGCTAGTTCCCAGTTTTGTGCGGACCTAGTAGAACGTTTTGAAAATGGCGCTAGTATTCGAAGTATGCACGTCATTCGCATGACTATAGACGTAAAAAGTACTTTGTAAGGACCGAGTTTTGACGTCACTTCTATCGCCTCCATGGTTACTGCACAAGTCATTACGCAGTATTTTCCATACAGCAGTCCTTAATTCTTTACTATAACGATGAGCATTTTTGTTATTTCTTGTAATGTATCGAGTGAACTGATATGGTTTAAAGATGTGAATTTCAAATGGAATTATGTATTGAAATATGACTGCTTGACTCGTTGATCGTGAATTGTGACACTCCCAGAGGAACAGGGCAAAGAATTGATTACTTCCGCGATGGCTATGGTAGATAAACGAAAACCGTTACTTCCAAACCAAAGCATGAACAGGCTGGCACGAAGTCCTCTGTTTCTGAAGGTGATCAAGAGGGAAATAGCCAAGTCCAAACCTCGAAAGTAAGATTTTAACGAACTGAATTACGCTGGGTTTTTACTTTGAGCAATATCATAGCGAAAAGTTTCGAAATTCCAAACAGCTACTATTGTTATATTTAAAATGGTGGGAACTAGCGGTAAACTAGTGTGAGCTGCGTCGGTGTTTCTAAAGAAACAGTTGTGTAAAAAAGAAATGAAACGTCAGTAAGTTATTTCCCATACTTTTTTTTACGGTGTTAAACTTATCTTTTTTACACTATTGTTATATTAATTAATCGTGACGCATAGCGAGCAAGGAATTATTCATAGGAAAAGCATTTCCGAAACCATTTCTTTTCTTTCTTTTCTTTCTTTTCTTTTCTTTCTTTTCTTTTGTTGTTGTTGTTGTTGTTGTTTTGGCTGCCATCACTCAGAACACGTTCGTGACAGGTTCACATCGCGGAAAAAGTAAAGTGAAGTGAAAACGTGATCTGAAACTTTTAAGACTATTAAAAGACAAATGCTCACGCTGATCGAACAACTAATAATCAAAAAAAAAATGAGAGTAGTCATGCGTAAGTGGGTTAGGCTCTTGATTATATTTGCGCTTTGTAATGGTGATATGTGTAAGTAAGTAAGTAAGTAAGGACTTTATTTAACGAGGGTAAACACGTAATAGTATACAATACTAATAAACTTGTGGCCCTCCTAGTGTAAACACGTAATAGTATACAATACTAATAAACTTGTGGCCCTCCTAGTGTTCATCTTCCAGTAGGTTTTTATTCAGTTTTAATTGACGCATATTGAGTCATACAAAAAAAAACTCATATTAACACAGGTGTAGCGCAGTTAGAATGGATGAGTTGCCAGTAACCAGGCCCTCTCGTTATTACAATGCATTCTGGGTATGCCAAGGGGCAAACAACACGAAGCGAGTAAGATAAAGTATGGGGATTTTGTTGTCAGCGTGGTTTTACTTCATTTTATTGCTTTTTAACCGAAAGTATTTTGGAAAATTCGATGATTGTGTGGACCCGAACAATGTCTAGGCTTCGTTACCCTTCGATTATGTAAGTTTTTCMTACGTATTTGATGTGATATCGATAAAATACCTTGGATTCTATCGGAAGTGTTATTGTGAAATGTAAGCTTACACACCAATGTTTTCTAGTCTGTAAAAGTATTTAAACTTGTAGATATTTTGAATATTGCACAATAAAATGTTCGTACTTTAGCGAAGAAGTGTTGTTTGACTGTGTTTACGTTTTTTAATCTTACGGGGAATCAAAGAGAAATAGTGGTTCGATTTCTGTTATCGATCAATAGCTAGCTCTATGGAGACACGGAAATCATGACAAAAACTACCGAGAAATTCGTAAACTATGCTGTGATCTAATTGAAAATAAATGAAGAAAACTAGCAAGAAAACCAAAACAATCACTGTCGAAGTGACTAGCGATAGCCGTTCAAAGTCTTATATGGACTAAATGAGCGGTAGTTTTCAAATATAGAAAAAAATCCCCAAAACAGTATCCAAGTAAGTAAAGACTATTAACACTTTATTAACAATCTAAAACAGATTCCAAATCATATTAGAACGTTCTATTTCGAGCATCTTTGGTTTCTTGTCACACTTTAGCGTGACGATCGGCTCAAAGTCTTCGATGTACTAATGAGCGCGCATATAGTCACTTCGGTAATCGCGTCCTATTACACTGACTTTTCATGATTATAACCCTGCTACAAATCATTTTAATCTTTGATTTCCAAATACTAACAATTGCTGTACATTAACTGTTCCTAAAACTTCTGTTGTTCGGCCCCCATTAAAATTAACTTGGCACAAAATCAGCCATCTACTGATGATAAGCATGCATTTAAAATCGCCGATAAAATATTCTTTCAAAAAAAAACCGCACTCAATACTCACGTAGCTCAACAAGAAAACACTTTATTGTGTAATACTCAACATATCAACAAGTTTATATATACCTTTCAGTTAGAGCCTGGTGTGTATATTTCACAATAACACTTCCGATAGAATCCAAGGTATTTTATTGATATCACAACAAATACGTATGGAAAACTTACATAATCGAAGCCTAGACATTGTTCGGGTCCACAATCATCGAATTTTCCAAAATACTTTCGGTTAAATAGCAATAAAATGGAGTAAGAGCACGCTGACAACAAAATCCCCATACTTTATCTTACTCGCTTCGTGTTGTTTGCCCCTTGGCATACCCAGAATGCATTGTAATAACGAGAGGGCCTGGTTACTGGCAACTCATCCAATCCCAATAACCAATTCGGCCATGTGCCGTTGCTACCACGAGGCAGTAAAATTTCACAACTAACCGAGTCAATTCAAAGGCAATTTTACAAGCATGAATAATTCCAAAAGGCTCTTACTCTAATTATTTAACATTTTAGTATCTTTTTTTTGTACTTGGAAGAAAATTTGGCTATACGCTAATGTAATTTTATTTTCTCGAAACCGGTTTTTGTCAA